AGCCGTGTTGAATGCGAAGGCCTTCCTGCCCGCAGCCATCTCCACGGCTCGGTTTGGTCCGGTTTGGTCAAGCCACTCTGCACGTGCATGGCTCGGTTCCGACTTGCTTGTTTTCATAGCTTGCTGCTGCTTTTACTGCCTCACCTTTTGCTCCCGTAACAGCGGCATTATTTGTCTCTTCTCCATCTCGTACTTCCTACGTGGTGGATGCACCTGGAAGTATACTTGTGGCTCTAGATATGCAGCCGTATCTATGCAGAATAAACCTTCTGCAGTACTTCTTCCAAAATCCTGTGTTAACGCCACTGAAAATCGTAGCTGAGGGCTGAGAACCCCTGGAGTATATGTGTCTAATACGAGCGGGGAGTTGATGGATGTTTGCAATGAAACTGCCTTGAGACCTGGGGGTGTCTCCCCACGGTGCTGGTCCCTGTGCGGTTACGACGTGAGGAAGCAGATGCGCAGTCGTGCGTGCTGGGATGGCAGTGGGGTGTCTCCAAGCACTGTGTTCACCCTGGGTTTGCGGGTTGGGCCCTTGCTGAAGGCTGCCCCTCCTTTTCTGCATCCTGCGCTCGCTGCGACCGCCTTCGAGTGGGGCTGTGGGGAGTTTGACCGTAGACTAGCTCAAACCTGGAGTTGCACAGTTGGCTTCATGGGGACCCCCCTGGCTTTTGCAAATACGGCTAAAACAGTGATTCAGTTAACTGTCTCCTGTGGGATTGCATATGCATGGATACAGTTAAGGGAAAATTTGACTCTGACTCGGGATCTTGATTCTACTGCTGAGGAACAATTGAGAAGAGGTTTCATCTCCTGCTTCCGCTGTCACCTGTGCAGGAGTAAAAATAAGCAAAGTTGCACTTTAGTCTTTGGGGTCTGACAGAAATAGCCCTTAGAGCTGGCCTGTTGGCACTGGCGTGGGAGTCGAAACACGGCCGCCTGGCGCAGAGCGGAGCTGGGGGAACTTGCTCCCTGCCCAGCAGTCCTTGTTTGCGCCTCCCCTGAGCCAGTCATGGTGCCAGCTGTTGGGTGGTGAGCATCAGCACCATGTCCATGCGCATTGCTGGTATGAAATCAAACCATCTCTCAGGAAAGCTCCATTATTGCTTGAGAAGTTAACTTTGACTCTGTCCTCGCTGTCAAAGGTACCTTCCTTGAGAAGATGTTCCCATCTCTCTTGGCAGGATGAAGAGAGCACAGTTTGGACCCCATGACTGGCTGTCTCTTCCTGTACCAGCTGGTTCCAGTTGGCTACTGGTGGATACCTTAGAACCGGAGACTGCGTACCAGTTCAGTGTCTTGGCTCAAAACAAGCTGGGCACCAGCTCCTTCAGTGAGGTGGTCACTGTGAACACTCTAGGTAAGTTGGGCAACAGGAGGAGGGAGAAAGGGTTCAGGAGGGCTGCAGAGCTGAGGAGCCGGGGAGGCCGGGTGGTGAGAAGAGGCATGGCCGTGTGGCCTTGGCCTGTGTGCCCTTGCCTTGCTGGGGATGGAGATGGTGATGCAGCAGCAGTCGTTCCTGGCCCCATTGGGGGATGCTTTGTGGAGTCTTGTGGATGAAGCTTGTGGACCTTGCATGCGTTATACTACAGAAAGCTTGTGCCAAGAGGCAGCTCAGGAGAGCCATGCCGTGATACCAGTCACTTTTCAGCTCTTACCTTAAGTGAAACTTGGGTCAGGAGTTATTAATAGAGTGCAAGATCACTCATGTGCATCTCAGAAGAGGAGCTATCACGAGTAGGCCTTGTACTGGGTACCTGCCTTGGGGCTGTCTCAGAAGTAGGTCAGAGGAAGGAAGAGGTTTTCTGAACACTGTCCCCTTTTTCTTAGCATCATTACGTTTTTATTTCCCCCTTTTTGGAAAGCCACTTCTGTATCTCAGAGATAAGAGAGCACGTGCCTGGGAAATGTCCGAAACTCCTGGAGGGCAGGAACTGCTGCTGCAGTGGTGGTCTGAGTGGGCCGATGCCAGGCCTTGCGGGAGAGCTCTGAAAGGGTCCTAGCGTGCTCCTTTTGCACATGTTTGCCTGCGAACCTTCCTAGAGGCTGTGCGGGGTCACGAGGAGCTGTTGTGCTGAAGCATGAGGGGGGAGGTCAGCGCACGGATGCCGATCCAAGGAGGGACGGCATCCTCTGCTCCTTTCCTTAAGCCCACGTCAACAATGCCTCTGTCCCATCTTCTCTAGCATTCCCTGTAACAACTCCAGAGCCTCTGGTGTTGGTTACCCCACCGAGGTGCCTAACAGCCAACCGGACACAGCAAGGCGTCCTCTTGTCGTGGCTTCCTCCCGCTAACCACAGCTTTCCCATCGACCGCTACATCATGGAGTTCCGCGTCGGGGAGAGGTGGGAGATCTTGGATGACGGCATCCTAGGGACCGAGAGCGAGTTTTTTGCCAAGGACTTGTCCCAGGTGAGCAGTGGCTGCCCGCCCCACAGCTCCTGCGGTGGCTCGGCATCGCGCCGTCTGTCCTGCGGCCCTGGAGCGGTTTTCGGGACTGGCTTTGTGAGCCAGATTAGCTCAGCGCGGGTGGAGGTGCTTGACGGGGAGGTGGTAGCCAGAGGACCTGACAGATGTGCTTGCTGTTTCAGGACACCTGGTATGAGTTCCGGGTCCTAGCAGTCATGCAGGATCTTATCAGTGAACCCAGTAACATTGCTGGCGTGTCCAGTACAGGTAAGTGGCAGCTCTCCTCCTGCTCCTGCTCCTCCTCCCTGCCCCTGGCAGCTGTGGGAGCATCTCTGCTGCCTTTGCGCTGGTCTGACTAGAGCGTGTGTCAGTAGTCACATACTTGGGATAGCAATGACTTGAGCACCGGTTTTGTACCTTTGCCTGAGACCCTGACTGCCTGCTTGGGCTGTGAGCAGCTACTGCTCTGTGCGCTGTTACAATTAGCTGAATTTGCTAGGTAAAGGTTGAACAGTGTTGCAGATAAAGGTGCTGTTTCTCTGATCATAGAAAGTCTTATCTTGGACTCCGTGCTGGAAAACAGTGTTGGTGGCACGTGAGGTGTAGTGGCAGATGCTGTCAGGTGTCCAGGCCCTTGTTTTCCTGTGGAGGACTTAGGAGGTGTTGTGGGAAGCTCAGGTCAAGCTGTTCCCACCCCCCCCCACCACCCCCAGACACAAGCAGCCAGGGCCCTGCAGAGCAGCGGCGCTTGGAGCAGGCAAGGACAGACAGCCCAATTAAGTCCTTCCCCGTAGAGCACAGTGCGTTAAAGGGCACACGCCAAAGCAGAGAGGAGCAGCGTGTCTCGGCTCCGCAGGATGCGCCGAGAACAATGCTCTGAGCCGGGGACTGCGCAACCTAGAAATGGAAATGAAAGGTGCAGAGAGGGAAACGTAGCACTGCAGTGCAGAGTCCGCGGGGAAAGCGCTGGAGCTTTGCAATGAGACTGCAACACGCTGCGGCACGCACAAGTACTCTGCCCCCCGATCCGGCTCTGGCTCGGAGGAGCGCCCTTGAGCAAGGGGCAGGCAAGGGCACGTGACTGCGATGGGAGGGCAAGGTGTGCAGGAGGAGAGGGGAAATGAGAATGCAGTGAACCCTATTTATACCGGCTCGCTCTCGCTGAGAAGCTACGGAGCCACCCAGCTCTGCTGTGTGCAGGAATAAAGCAGTCTCTCTCTGCCCCCAAGTGGTGCTGGCGCGGTGCGGAAACTGCCTGCTGCAGGCTGCGTGCTTGCCTGCCCTCTGAAAGCCGATTGCTCTTGCATGATTTTTCTGATGGGATTTGACAGTACTTGTACACAGAGGCAGCACCCATGGGGCTTGCGTGCATCCCTGTCCTGTGTCAGCGTCTGCTGCTGCCTGCAGTTGAAGGCTAGCACCCATGTCAGGTGAACGCGCGCTGACCCCAGCGTGCAGAGGGATGGTGGGGGCAGTTCTGCTCTTGTGAGCTGGGCTGGCCTCAAAAACTGCTCTTGCATCTGCAAATAGCTGCAGCTAAGGCCTGTTGGCAGTTGAGATCTGCTCGTGGTTGGTGAGGTGGTGTAATGCAGATTCGGAGGCATGGGTGCTGGTTTCAGTCCAATTTTCCCTGAAAAGCAAAATGTATTGCACTGAGATGCACAGGGGAAATACCTTCAGGGGCTGCAGCCTGAGCTGTGGTGGGTTATTGGACCTGTAGACTGTCAATGGCAACCATGCCTCTGTTTTGCACGTCTTTCCTGGGCGTCAACCGAGACAAAAGGTTTGCCTCATGGGAGGTCACTAAATCACTTGTTTTATTGGTCTGCAGCAACGTAGACTTGCCTCTTCATGTGGGCTGGGTCTGAGGCAGAGCCTTTTACTTCAAGGTTATCATTCCCAGTGCCAGCAACGAGTGAGCCGTCTTGCATTGCGACAGCTTTGCCCGCTGAACTGTGGTGGGGACCTGAGGGGAAAGCAGCAGGCAGGGGCTGGGGGTGTGTTTGTGCAACACCTGGTTTTTTTTATACAGACATATTCCCTCCGCCTGACCTGACGGACGAAGGTTTAGCCCGCCCGGTGCTGGCTGGCATCGTTGCCACCATCTGCTTCCTGGCTGCTGCCATCCTCTTCAGCACACTCGCTGCCTGCTTCGTCAACAAGCAACGCAAACGGAAACTCAAGCGCAAGAAAGGTGAGTGTGCGGGTGGTGTGCTTTCCATGTCCTTTCCATCTCCTCCTCTTTTCTCTCCCCTTGTCCCGAATTGCATTGTGGTGGTAATGTTCTTCCCTGTCTGTCTCTTGTTCCATCCATGCACATCTTCAGGTGAAGCCCTAACTTCATCCTTCAGCTGTGACTGAAAGCATCCGTGTTTGGGAGTGGGAGAGGAAGGGTGGGTGAAGAGGCAACAGAGAAACTCTAGCCTGGGATTTCCAAGGGAGCTCTCTTACGTGGTGATACTCCTAGACCAGGGGGTTTTTTTAGGGCTCGGGCGATCTCACTCTTGGCCAGAGAGGGGGTGAAACTTTATGCAGACAGCTTACCTCCCCAAGGTCCCCCAGACCTTGGTGCGCAAGTCGCTTCCTTCTGAGGGCCCGCGGGAGCAACTGCTCAGAGCACTGGTTTTATGTGGACCGTGTAGTGTCTGACCTGCTGCACTAGACTATAGAAGACCCCTGCAAAGGAGATCCCACTGCTCCAGTTGCATAAAACTGGGACTGGAACCAGCTTCACAGGAGTGCCCAGTAGGGAGAACTGCAACAAGTTCCTGTGGCTGGGGAGCTGGCGAGGGCAGGGGAATCGACTTTTTTCACCTCTAGCGTGCGAGCTTGTGACAGCAGGATTAATAGGAAACTGTGACTGGAGCTGTTTGTTGTCAGCAACCATTAAAGCACTGGCGCAATGAAAACTGGCCTCTCGTTGAGTGTCTTCTTTTGTGTTTTGATGTTAAGTTTGTCCGTGTCTGTCTTGCTGCGCCTCCTTAGCGTTCTCTCTTCTTTCCCCTTTTTATTCTTTTCCAGACCCTCCTCTCTCGATAACCCACTGCAGGAAGAGTTTGGAGTCCCCGTAAGTATCTGTCTTAGATGTGACACCAAGCTGTGGTTCATCAAGTAGTTTGGAGGTGCCTCTTTCTGCAGTTGTTGTTTAGGTCGAATGGGAATATCTGACCTTGTTTTATTGCTTCTGAGGATTTGTTTTCACTGTTCCCTAGACTTCTGGGAACAAAACAATTTGCAGGAGGCAAACAGGCTTTGGAGCAGAAGGCAGCAGGGACAAACATGCCAAAGTTTAAACTAGGAGTTAACCCTGTGGAATGGTACACGTTGACCAGAACTGGACTTGATGAGCGGTCGAACTAAATTACGCAACAAACTATGTTGTTCCTTAGGAGAAGGGTTAGCCTGCTGCATCCAGAGTCTTTCATGCATGTTCACTGTAGTTCTGAATCATTCTCTTTTTGCTCTGTTTTCTCTTGGGAAATTCGGAGAATCTTAAATGCGTTTTTTTCTTTTCCTTCCTGAAGAGTCCCCCATTCAAGCCTCTTCCCAGGTGTACCTAAAGGTTGCGGGTTATGGTGCTATACTAGCCGCAACTTCTTATAGATCCCATCAGAACTGCTTAGTGTGTTAACCAGAAAGAGCCGCCAAGCAGCAGGAGCATCTTCCTGATCCGAGTACAAGAATGAGAGATCTGAACACCTCAAGCTTTGGCTCCTGGACCTTTCTAAAATGTCCCAGTGCTGGTGGCTTTTAATCCTGCTTTTTTCCAGTTCTTCCACTGCACTGGAATGAACGTGCCCGCATCGTCTCTGTTGGATCTGCTACGTTTTGCCCTTCAATCCTGTTTGTCTGAGGCTTTCTAAATAGGGATGAGTGGGCTATTGTGATGCTGTCTCCCCCTGCCTCTTTTCTTCCTTTTCAGGCTCTCAGCCTTACATTTGGGTGTTCAGGATGGGGAAAATGTTGGTTTCAAGTTATCTGTCAGCGTCTCTAAGGGAGATGCAGAATTCTGCAGGAGGGAATGTTTTCCTGATGTTCCTCTGAAGCCCTGGAAATCAGAGAGTCCCTCCTCTTGGGGGCTTTCCTAGGCTTGGACACCTCAGGTGAATGCACAAAGCTTAAAGGAATTGGAAGTGAGCTCTGGATCTTTTCTTTTGTCCTGCTGGGGCCGTGGAGCTCATGGCAAGGTGTTGAAGTGAACTGCCTGCCTTAAGAGGGATGTGGAGGTGTGCCGAGCTCTGCTCTGCTGAGGCCTGGAGAAGTCGGAGGAGATGTGCAGTGCTGCTGACTCGTCTCCCACTTGCTTTTCCCAGCCTGCTGGGCTGTGTCAGAGCTAGGCAAGGTTCTGCCATCTTAACAGTCCCCACACAAATTTCTTCCAGCAGTTCCTCTTTTGAGAGCTGATAACGCTTTGTTTTCTGGATCCGGCTGGACTTTGATCCAGCGGTTCTTCTGGGCAAGAAGAACTTTGGTTCCCTCCCTATGACCGTCCCCTTTCTTGGTTTTTGTCTGTGGTCCAGGTTGTCTTCCGGCAAGGTGAGTCCCGAGAGCATCCGCACGCTCCGTCCCCCTTCGGAGTCCTCTGATGACCAAGGCCCGCAGGCCAAGCGGATGCTGAGCCCCAGCAAGGAGAAGGAACTGTCCCTTTACAAGAAGACCAAGAGGGCAATTAGCAGCAAGAAGTACAGCGTCTCCAAGGCCGAGGCTGAAGCTGAGGCCACGACCCCCATCGAACTCATCAGCCGTGGGCCGGATGGCCGCTTCGTGATGGACCCGGCGGAGATGGAGCCCTCTCTGAAGACACGCCGGATCGAGGGCTTCCCGTTTGTGGAGGAGACGGATATGTACCCCGAGTTCCGGCAGTCGGACGAGGAGAACGACGACCCCGTCGTCCCCGCCTCCGTCACGGCCCTCAAATCCCAGCTCACCCCTCTCTCTTCCAGCCAGGAGTCCTACCTTCAGCCACCAGCATACAGTCCCCGGTTCCACCGGGCCTTGGAGGGCACGGGCACCCTTGAGAGCCACCTGCAGGCCACTGGCCAGGCCCGACCGCCAGCCCCCCGGGCTTTCCACCACGGCCAGTTTTACGGTTAACCCAGCAGCAGGAGCCCTGTCCTCCCCACCTCTGCACCCCGAGGGGCCCTTCGGACACCCCACCATCCCCGAGGAGAACGGGGAGAACGCTTCCAACAGCACGCTGCCTCTCGCCCAGACCCCCACGGGGGGCCGGTCCCCCGAGCCCTGGGGCAGGGCCGAGTTCCCCTTCGGTGGCCTGGAAGCGTCCCCTGTGGTGTTCCCCCACCAGCTCCAGCAGTGCGACGTGGCCGAGAGCGCCCAGCCCACGGCCTGTCTTCCTCGGGGGCCGCCCCCGTCCTCCCTCCAGGTCCCTGTGTCCTACCCGGGCATCCTGCCCCTGGAGGCACCAAAGAGTTGGACTGGCAAGTCACCTGGCAGGAGCCAACCTTCTGTGCCCACCACCACCAAATGGCAGGACAAACCTATGCAACCTATGGGGAGTCAAGGGCAGCTAAGACATACCAGTCAAGGTATGGGCATACCCGTGTTGCCTTACCACGAACCGTCCGAGTCAGTCGGCCACAGCGGCACAAGCACATTCAGCCTGGACACCAGGTGGTATGAGCCCCAACCCAGACCTCGGCCCAGCCCTCGGCAAGTCAGGAGGGCTGAGCCCAGTTTACATCAGGTGGTGCTACAACCTTCGAGGCTTTCTCCTCTGACCCAAAGCCCCCTCAGCTCCCGCAACAGCTCCCCGGAGCTGACCGCCCGGGCCCGGCCGCGGCCGGGCGTCATCCAGCAGGCAGAGATGTCAGAGATCACCCTGCAGCCCCCCGCGGCGGTCAGCTTCTCGCGCAAGTCCACGCCGTCGACGGGATCCCCTGCTCCGAGCAGCCAGGGAGAGAGCCCCAGCTACCGACCCACCACAGCCTTCACCTCTCTGGCCACTGGCTATTCTGGCTCCCAGGGCTCCTCCCTGCCCGTGGACACCATGGATGTTTTTGGAGAAATTCCCTCTCCGAAGGGAACTAGTGAGGAGATTCTCAGACCGGAGCCTACACCGACAACGGTAGCCACTTCGGGGTAAGTGTGGGCAACCCGTAGTCCCCCGGGCCCCTTCCTGGCTTCCCCCACCCCGCCTCACCTGCTCCCTCCAACTCCTTCCCCCACCATCATCAACCGAACTCATAGGGTTTGTCTGGACACGCTGCAGCATCCCTTTTGGAGATGGCATCCCGCGGGTTTTGCTAGGACGCGGCTCGGAAGAGACTCGTGCCGCGGGTACAGGTTGCATGGCCCTTGCTGGGGACGTCGCTGCCCGAGCAGGTTACGCAGGCAGATGACCTTCCTCGCGTTCACGGCGCGTTACTCGGACCGTTCCTCCTCCCCGAGCAGTCGCTGGGAGCCGGGGGCCTCCGTGACTTGGGATACGGGCCATCTACTAGGCTGGTAAAGCCCTAGGTTCTCGGCCCGGCCCCTGGGCTTGCGTAGGTAAGTGTCCTGGTGTTACTGGCAGCTGTTTCCTCTTCTAGTTGCTGGCTCTTGGCTTTCTTCGAACGTTAGGGCTGTTGTGCCTCCTTGTCTTCCTTCTGTTCCTTCTTCCCGCGGAGTCTAGAGAGCTTTAATGCATGACAGAAACAGCTGTAAAAGTCACCTTGCCGCCCCATCTGCAAAAGGGATGCTGCAGCCCCAGGACGCGGGCAGGGAGAGAGATCAAGGACTTAGCCGCACCAGCAGCGTGTAAGGAGAGGAAAAAAAAAAAAAAACCCAGCGGAGATCAGGAAGCTGCCGGCATGCTCAGATCCTGCCCTAAAGAGGGATGTGGCTGCACTAGACTGTAGCGGCTGGTTTTCCAGGTACCAGGGTTGCTCCAGGCAAAGCGTCTTTCTCTCTCTCTCTTTCTCTCTCTTTCTCTCTCCCCCCCTCTCTCTGTATTTCTTCTTTCCCTCCGTCTCTTTCGCAGCACCTTAGATCCTGTAGCCGTGCTTCCGTATCCATCCTTTCGTCTCGCTTCATTTTGGCTTGTTGTGTGGCGGGCTTTAACCCCGCAGCTTGTGGAGGAGAGGAGTCGAGGCGCTCGCCAGCCGGCGGCGTGAGCGGTTGGGGGCGGGAGGCAGGCGTTTCACCCCGCAGCGCCCTCCGCATTTCACTCCCGCTCTCTGGTACCTGGAAGCGTTAAGGCCTTAGACATCCCGGGAGCCCTTGGGCACTGCGGGCCGTGGGGCGCCCGGAGACGGGGGCGCGTGGGGGCGAAGGAGGGCTCACGGCCGAGGATGGGGGCGGGAGAGGACCTGAACGAGCCCGAAGCGAGTTCTGTGTGGCTTTTGGCAACGCAGATACCTGTCTCTCTGAATGTGCAGCTCGATGAGGATTCATGTCTCCAGCCGGTCTCTGAGCCAGGGCACCCCGATGAGTCCCAGGTACAGGACAGTCACAGGACCGAGCTGTGTTAGAGCACTGTTGTCCGTGCTTTTATGCAGTGTATTCATTCGCTTTGTCGATTACTATTATTTCTTTTCCTTTCTTTTCTGTTTCTTTCCCCCTTTCTTCTCCAGACTTGTTTCGTTTGTGTTTTGGTTTCTTTCCCTCCTTTTCCTTTGGAGTTTTTGACGTGCTGATGTGTTGCGGAGCTCGGCTCCTTGCGGGTGTTGATAACTGCTTTGTTTTTGATTAATCTCAGCTATCTGGGCAGTGTTGTCGAGACAAGCTTCTCCTCAGCTCAATAGGTAAGGGTGATCCATGTCCGAAAGGATGGTGTGGGCGCTGCGGAGGGTGGCTGGGAGTGGGGCATGAGAGGGGACATGGAAGGGGCTTTTCCAATACCATCTCTTCCTTTAAAGGGGAATAAGGAATTGTAAAACGCTAGGGTACACCTTTGTACACACAGTCTCTGTGGCTTTTGGGTTTCCCTTCTCAGCAGCACGTCACTATCCGTGTGCCTTTGGGGAGGCAGAGCGGCTGGAGAGACTGGTGGTAGCATCCGTGTCTTTGGGGGTGAGACGGGCACAGGAGCGCTGGCTGCTCATGTCCTGTCGCTCCCGGGTGCAATGCGCGGGCGTGACGTGGTTGGGCTTTGGGCACGTCGCTCATCCCCGCCATGGGTCCGCAGTGCACCACGAGCTCCGACAGGTAGCTGTTGTGTCGCTGTGGCTGCCTTTCCTTCCTTCCTTGGAGGATCACGGTATGTTGCACCCTCAGCCCTGGCCAAGCTTGTGAAGCTCAAGAGGAAATGTTTTGGTTGAGAGAAATAGTTGGGAGTCTCCCAGCTGATCCAAAGGAGGAGTTCATAGCTGTGCACGCTGAGCAAGGTAAAATAGTCATCCTCTGGCTGCAGGCAGCTGCAAATAGTACTTTTGGACTAGGGCTCCAAAATGAGTGTCTAACTGTATTGCAGGAAGTAGAAACTCTTAGTCCCCTCAGTAGTTGGATCTATTTTCCTTTTCCTGTTATTTTTTGATTACGAAAAATGGGAGAAATCTTTTTTCAAGATGAGCTTCTATGGTTTGCAGTAGTGTAACTACAGTTTGAGACCACTGGTGAGATGTTTTATCTTTGCTGTAGACCGTGGTGAGTGTAGTTGCAGTAAAAACTCTCCTTCTCCCAGATACTCCTTGGAGAAATCCTGTAGGACCTCTTCTGACCCAACTGTAATTAAACAGTCATTCTGAAAAACTCTCCCAAGGAAGCATCTCTCGGGGGCTCTCTTCTTGGGGATGGTTTTCTAGATGGCCACAGGCATCCCTGGAACTGGACTGGAGTAACTAGGAGTTTGTTTTTAGGCAAGAAATTTTATGCAAGAAATTTTCTCTCTCCCCTCTCACTATGACTGCTAAAGCCAAGCAAGATTTTGGTCGTTCCCAGCCCCAGAGAGCAGGAACTCTGACCCATGCGGCTGTCGGGCAGACCGATTGTGAAAGGAGACGTGGTATTGCAGATGTGTCTGTCTGTGGGGCCTGGCAATGCCCAGGGCTAGTTGGGACTGGTCTTCAAAAAACTTACACTCGCTGCTATGGATGGAAAGACTCAGGGTCCCAGCTGATACTATCCTAACGGCCTGAGGAGTCTTGTTGAACTGGAGAGGCCCACAAGAGGGACATGAGTTGGCCAGTTAAATTGGGTAGCTAGTTCCAAGAGAGTAAAATTCCTCTGGCTCAAATGGAGGGTCATCCTAGAACAGAAGAGGATGAGGAGAGAGAGACAGCAGGTCAGTGTGAGGCTGAGGGTTGGGTCAGATGAGAACGATGGAGGGCATAGCGAGGGGAGCAGGCTTGGGACATAAGGTCCATGGGGGGACTGCATCCTGGTGCGCTGCCCTTCATGCCATCCTCTTGGGAGAAACTGCTGACAGTACCTGGTCGGTTTGACCTCTTAAGCACTTGGCCACCTTCTTCCTCTGTTTCCCTGTGCCAGAGCCAGGGCAGGAGGTCCCACAAGGAGCAAAGCTAGTGCCAAGCCTTGTGGAAACCAGCTGGGCTGTGTCAGACTTCCCACAAAGTGGGGAAACCCTCGGCGAGGCCTTGACTGTCTTCTCTCTCCTTTTGCCATGGTGCTTCCCTGTTCCACAAGAGCTCCTGAGCTGAGAGAATGATTGCTTCAGCACAGCATAGGTCAGTACAAGCTCACATCTGAGTCTGGCGTTGTGTCTGAGCAGACCTTGGATACGTTCTTGCATGGATACTAGCTTGCTCCCGTCTCTGGTGATGGGAGCCGTGGGCTGATGGCATTAGGAGCAGGAGAAGGGGCAGGATCATATTGCTCAGCAGGATATTTGCTGCAGAGCAACAGTGTGCCCTGATCTGAGATGCTGCCGGGGAATCCTGTGATGCTGCGGGGGGTTGGAGTCACAGGCAGCATCTCCAGAGTCATTATCCCAAAAAGGGAAGCCATAAGGAGAATAAATCTTGCTCTAATAAGTGAGGCATCCCGTAAAGAGCCCAGCCAAGTAATTTCTTTGATTTGGAGGTCATAAAATTGTCAGTGGATGCAGAGCACAAGCATTTTATAGCAGACCAGCCAGCTTTCTATACTGCAGTAATAAAAGCTGGGAGGAGGAGAGGGAAAGGCAGTTTCCGAGCTTTGTGGAGGCTGCAGTTGAGCCCCTGGGAGCAGCGGCAGGAGGGATCGCAGAGGTGTAACCCGTGCGGGCAGCGCTCTGCTTGCTGTGATCATCGGCATGTCCAGGTGCCAGGAGCGGGCAGGCTGTCGCCAGCAGCTTTCGCTGGGTGCAGGGTGGATGGCGTTTATTGAAAAGCAGGGATAAATTATGCAATTGCTGAATTAGTACTAGCGTTTTCCCCTTTTCTCTTAACGTAGTCCAGTGGGCCGTGATGTATCTCCAAACGGGGAAGAGGGCATTGTCATCTCCCTGCAGGGGGGAAACCCAAAAACCACAGACAAGGCAACAAGCACCGGCGCCCCTCGGCATCGCAGCCTGCCCCGAGCCGGTCGCCCCGGCTCCCCTTTGCCGGGGCAGCGGTGCTGTTGGCTGGGCGCGGGGGCC